CTGGGAGGAGAGCTGGAAACGTTGGGGGAGGACGCTGATGACACCCAGCAAGTCTGGGCCTTGGTTTGCTCACCATGGCAGGGAGGGACAGGTTGGGCTAGAATTGGCTCCTTAACCCGTGGTCTGTGGTGTGTTCCGAAACTCTGTGTGTGTGTGTGTATGTGTGTGTATGTGTACAAATGGGCACCGTACTCAGATGTGAATCTTCAGCTTGTTTCAGTCTCTCAAAGGGTTTCAGGTTCCCATAAATCCCCAAAAAACTGAGAACTCCTGGACCAGGTGATCCTTGAAATCCCTTTGAGCCTTCGATTCACAGAGCCTCGTTTGTTAGAATGGCCGCCGGCCGCCAGTCTTCCTGCAGGTGGAAGGAGGTGGCCATCCCCCCTCCCGGTTGTGCTGGGGCGTAGTGGGCCCAGCAGGTGCGGTGGGACATGGTCGCTGTCTCTGCCTGGACACCTGGACGGCACCTCCGCTCTTCGCCTTGGTGTGAGGAGTTTCCTGGGCGGACTTTGTGACACCAGCCTCACCCAGGAGGGGACAGTTCCCCGGACCGGACTCGGCCTCCTTTCCCAGTCCTGTGGGTGCGACTGATAAACCGCCGGGGCAGGATGGGGCTCTGAGAGGGGCGGGAAGGAGTTCAGGGAAGCAGAGGAGGGAGGGTGGTCCCAGCCGAGGTGCTGCGGGAGGCGAGGGGTTTCAAAGCTCACAGAAGAAGGGGCGTGTGTGCCAGACGAGGAGCCCGGGCAGTGAGGGTGACGGTGTGCTCAGGGGCAAGGCTGGGTCAGCTCCCAGGGCGGGGGAGGGGGGCCCTCCCACCTGCTCTGAGCCTCAGTTCCTCACCTCAGAGGGATGCATGCAAAGCACTGTGCTCGATAACTGGAAGGTCACGTCAGCTGGTGTGACTGCACCGAGGGATCTCAGTTCGGGCCCGCGCCGCGGAGAGGCAGGTTCCCGGGCGCGTGCTATGGATGGGGAGGTCCAGAGTCACACAGCTCTTAGCTGGGATCTATCAGCTGCTCCGCTGGACCCAAACCTGCCTTCTTCCCGGAACGTGACGCCGACCTCCGGTTGAAACACCCACGGGAGGATGGATGTGGCTGGGCAGCTGGGTCGCACAAGCCAGGGGGCTCGCGCTCTTCCCCACGAGGGAAGACTTGGAACGTGCAGGGTGTTCTTCCTGGAAGGTTAGGCTGTGAGCCGAGGTGACCAGGGCAGGTGAGATGGGGTTGTGTCCCTGCAGACACCCTCCTCCCCTTCTAGACCACGAGGGCGCTGTGAAAGGCAGGACACAGTGGACCCAACTGAGACCTGGGGACAAGGTCCCGGGCGCCAGGGCAGGAGAGGAAATCTGTGTGGCCATGCCCGCTCAGCAGCAGGCTGCCGCCCACTGAGGTCTGGGCAGAGCCAGACTGCCAGCGGGGGATCCCAGGAGGACTCGAGATGTAACCAGGAGAAGCCACAGCTCTGGGAGCTGGCTGGCTCCTTCAGGAGGAACAACGGCACAGAGAGTGCTTTGGAACATCCATTTGTGAGCAGGAGGAAGGGTCCAGTGGTGCCATGCAGATCAGTCAGGACTCCCAGATGTAAGCAGCCAAAATGGACTCAGGCAATCGCCAGCAGCAAAGGAATATGCTGGAAGGATTGATGGGAGCCTGGAGAACAGGCTTGGAAAATGGACTAGAGCCGAGGCAGGTGATGGGACCATGTCCCAGCCAAGCATTCACCTTTACAGGATGACACTGCTGTGCCTCATAATGAATTCTTCCCTCCTTCGTCCTGACGTTACTTTGCTGCAGCCTAGATCACCTGCTCACGCTCAACCCAGACAGGCCGGGGACCCCCTTAAAGATCCCTACCAGGGGCTCACACGTCGGGGAGGTCCCCAGAATGGGAATGGGCTGCGCCAGGTTATGAGGGAGACAGGTCTGTGTTGGACAGGCTGCCGAGGCAAAGGAAGGGGGTCGCCTCGCCGTCGACTGCTCACGACCAGGGCTCCGCTGTTTGTGTTCGTTCGTTCTTGTGCAACCAGCCCTGACCGCACCAGCACCACTACTCAGCGCCGGTGGTTTGGGAATAAGATTCTGCCCTCAGGGAGCTCACCGTCCACTCATTCGTTTGTTCGTTCATTCATTCAGCAAGTCTCGCTCGGCCACCCGGTGCCCCAGGTCCTGGGGATACGGTGGTGGTCACACAGGGACATGTGTTTGCGGGGCCCTGTGCTGGGGCCGGTGGGCACAGAAGAGGGATGGCTGCACTTCTCCCCCTCTCCTCCCTCCTGTCTTCTCTGTCTTCCTTTTTGTCCTCACTTGGCCATTCAGTCCAGCCAGTGACACATTATGGGCACTGCCTGGGCCCACGGTGCTCCCTCAGAACCAGTAGAAGAGCCCAATCAGCCCTAAGCCCGTGTGGCCATACCTCCCATACTCGTTTCCCACGGTCGCTGTGACAAATTACCACAGGCGTAGCCGTCGGAACAACACAAATTTATTATTTGTTCACGGTTCTAGAGGCCAGAAGTCCAGCACGGATCCCACTGGGCTAGAATCAAGGTGTCAGCAGGCTAGTTCTTCTGGAAGCTCTTAGGAAAATGGGTTTCCTTGCATCCTCCAGCTTCAGAGACTGCTGGTGCCCCTTGGCTTGTGGCCAAATCCCTCCAGCCTCTGCTATCTGTCCAACTCTCCAACCTCCTCAGGACCCTTCTGATGACAGCGGCTCACCCACATAATCGGGAATAACCTCCGCATCTCAAGGTCCTTAACTGACTCACATCTGCGAAGCTCCTTTGCCGCCTACGGTAATGTATTCACCAGGATCAGCGTGTGGACCATCTTCGGGCGTCCTGTATCTGGCCTCCCACACCTGCCCCTCTCTCTGGCGCACTTGGTGTGTGAGAGAGCACAGACTGGGCGTGTGCTGGGGCCGGCTCATACTGGCCAGTACCAGCTCCTGAGAGCCCATCCTACTCATCTCTTCCAACTCTGGTCCAGGGTGGCCCGGGATCGGCCAAGGCGGGATCGTTTATAGCCCCAAGGGTGGCTCGTGCTGTGGTCAGGCTTTCTTATTCTGGAAAACCTGTTGTTCCACATTTATCACCACCCCACTGGCCGTGGCTGCACGGATCCTGAGCCCCCCAGTTTGTAGAGTGTCTGCACGTGCCAGGTGCGGAGCGAAGTAAGCACTTTACAGGGATTATCTCATTGTTGGGGATCTTTGCATCGCTGTCCCTCAGCATGGAGTATATTTTATCGTCCTAATGAACAGGAATTGTCACAAGACCACAGAGCTAGGTCAGCACTGAGAGGAGGTGACTCAGCCACAGATTCTCTGGGGTGCTGCTGGTCCTGTGGCAGACTCCCACCTCCCCAGTCAGGTGGCGCAGGCTCTGTGTCTTTGGGGTACTTGAACCCAGGTCTCTTGGAGACTCAGCCATTGCAGAGGTCCCGGGATCACACAGACGGTGTCCCCGGGCCTGCTCCCTACTCGGGACAGAGGTGCAAACTTGCCTTGTGTCCGTGGGCTGCTCTCAGTCTGAGATTCGGAACGAGTCTCTGAGCTTGCCCACAGGAGCCTGATACCCTGCCGTACTGGCCACTGAGCTGGTTCATTTGTTCAAGCCCAGAGATTGCCCCAGACTCTGCCCTGGGAGAGCAGCTGAGCATCAACAATTTGGGTGTGGAACCTGGATCCCCTGGACAGAGGGGGACCCTGAAGTTGGACCATTGTACGTGCATGCATGTGTGTGTCCGTGTGGGTGGGGACCAGAAGTTGGACTTTGATGCTTGGAAAGAGGCTCCGGCCTTTGTGAGAGTCCCTGGACCATCAAGGTCGGGGTCAACTTGGAGCAGAGGGCTGTGGGGTCAGGCGAGAGCAGACACTGCATTTCTGCCCTTGGGGTTGGTCAGTGGAAAACTTGGAATGCCATAACTATGGTTTACAGCATGAGTCGGACTGCCCGGGTTCAAGTCTTGGCCCCGCACCTACTGCCTGTGAGCCTGTGGGAAAGCTCCTAACCTCCCCCAAGCCTCAGTTTCCTCATTTGTACCCTAGGGGTGACGATGCTGAGGGTACCAACTTCCCAGGGTAGACTTGCGAGGACCCGACAAGCCAGTTGGGCCACGTTTTATTTGAGAGGAACTAATGATGGTTTTGGTGATGACAGCAGTGACCGCATTTGTGGGTGACCACCTGCTCTGTGCCAGGCCCGATTCTCTGTGCTCCCCAGGAATCATTCCCAGTCCTCATGACATTCCTGCAAGGTCAGGGTTCGTGGCCCCATCTTACAGACGAGAGAAGCCAGGCCGAGTTGTCAAAGTCTGTGAATGAGGGTGGCGTGGATCTGGGAAGGTTTTGCCCTCTATGTGGTGATTTTTAACTCGGGTCGGCCTGAGTTCAAGGCTAGGCGCCTTCTTCCCTGACCTTCTGCAGTTGGCAAGAGGCTAAACCCACCGGCTTTGAAGCCAGCCTGCCTGCGTTTGAGTGTACTTAGTTGATGTGAGATCTTGGAGTCTCAGTTTGTCCCCTTGTGAAATGGGAATAGTGCTAGTGAGCTCACGGGGCTGTTGTGAGGGCTGACAACAGAATGTGTGGCTAACAAATGCCAGGCACCTGGAGCAGCGCCTGATGGAAAGGAGGCGCCCGAACCGCTCCCACTCGCAGCATCCCACCACCATACCTCCCTCTTCCCATTCATCCCGGTCCCTCCCGTGATCCTAAATAAGTCAAGATATGTGTACAGTGAACGCTTCCAGCCGCCAGTGTCTGGAGTCACTCATACCCAGCAAAATAAGCACACAGTGGCAGTGATGTCTTATTTCAGGAAAATCCCGCTGGTAGCTGCTTCTGTTTTGGTTTTGTACCCAGGAGGTTCCACTGGGTGAATCCCTGTGTGAGGGCCACAGAGCAGACTCTGCTGGGTAGAGCAGGCTGGGCCCCGCGTGCTTGTGCCCTGAAATGCTGCAAGCCGGTGACTGGACCTCGCTGTCCTCTTCTTGTCGTTGCAGGCTGCCAACAGCTACCTTCGAGACCAGTGGTTCCATTCTCTGCAGTGGAAGGTAAGTCCTGACTCGGTGGCTCGTTGAAGGCGGCTCTGTCTCAGGCCGCCTCCTGCAGGCTCACAGCTAGTCCGTTACCCAGAGGTGTGAGGGCGGACATCTCTTGCCTTCCAGACGGCTCAGCCGAGGAGCCTCGCCCCATTGTGTAAAAGCCTCTCCCCCTTCTCCCTCTGATGTTCGATGCCTTTCTCCCTGCGATGGCATTCCTGCCCCGTTGGCCACTGACTTTGCTCATGGGCTTTCTAGCATTGTGTCTGCTTCCAAAAGGATCGTAGAAGCCTTTGCTTTCAGAACAGGGGCTCTCCTGAGGGGCCGGGTGAGGCAGGGCTCAGGGTCTCAAGATGCTGGGTTGAAAGTAACTTCTGAAGGTTGCTCCAAACAGAAATCTGCCAGAGATTCAGACACCCAACCATTCTTCCGCAGTCTTCACTTCCTTTTAGCTACCTGGTTCTTTGGCCTAATTTTCCTGTTCACCCTCTGCGTAGGATGGTCCAGAGCCTTTTAGCACATAAGGAAATGAGTCCTCTGCTGGTCACTTTCAAGACCCAGGGGCCAGATCTGTTGCAAAGGATCCTCCCAGCCCCCCGGGAAATCCACGTTCTGCTCCAGGGTGTGGAATGTGCCCTCAGCTTCTCCTTATGCCCCGCCTCCCCGTCCCTCCCCCTTTCTGATCTTTTAGTTTAGAACAAGCCGTGACAGTCGTGTGGCCTCACCGAGCCAGCAGGGTGTGGCTGGAATGAGCGTGCGTGTCCCGAGCTGTCAGTCGTTACAGTAAGCTGGAGAGCTGCGGAGGATGAGCGGCAGGCACTGTGCAGGGCGTGAGGCCGAGGGCCACGTTGGGCTGACCAAGGGAACACTCGGAATTCCTCCCGTGCCTCGGAGGGACTCTTGTCACAGCCGGCCCAGGACGGAAATACAACCCCGGAAAATGACATTCCTGGCCCCAAAGAGGGCCACTCCTCCCCACTCCCCCGACAGCTGCAGGTCGTCCTGCTTGGTGCCCATGTGGCAATCTCAGAAGCTCAACAAGAAGTCTCCAAGTTGGGGCTGCAGAGGGAAAGGATTCGAATTTATTGAGCGCCTACTGTGTACCAGGCCCAGGAAGCTGGGCTCCTCGTGGCCATTTCATGCCCGCCACAGCCCTTGTAAGGCTGATGGCTGTCACTGCTCCCATTTTATGCATGGGGAAGGTGAGGCTCGGCTGGAGCCCGGCTCCCATAGCTAGTCAGGGCTGGAGGGAGGGGTCAAACCTGGGTCTCTCTCATGCCCACAGGTTTCTGAATGTAGGCAGCAGGCAGCGGGTGACAGTGAGGAAGGCAAGGTGGCACATTCCTGCCCACGGAGTCAGCAAGAGCTGCTGAGAGCTCAGTTTCCCCAGCAAGATTATCCCTCGTCCCTGAGGCCTGGCTCTCTGCGGCCCCGTGTATCCCAAGACAGGCAGGGCTTATGTCAGGACCTGCTGGGGGCCCGTCTGGGAGTCAAATGCCAGAGCAGTCGAGGGGCAGGGAAGATAATAGGGATGGAGTGGTTGGGGAGCTCCTGAAGGAAGGGGCCATTTCACTGCCGCAGACCTCTGCTGCTTGGCCTCCTCCCCCTTCTGTTGTCCGTATGTGTTTTCCAAGTGAGTGGAAAGCTCAGTAGGTGATTGCCTTGCTTTGTCTTAGCTCAGGAAGGGGCAGGAAGGACTTGGAGACATACTGTCCACTTGACAGGTGGGGAAAATGCCGCATTGCAGAGGTGGCCAAGACCCATGCCAAGGGAGAGGTTGGCTCTCTTCAGTGGTACTCCTCAGAGCCCTGCATTTGGCTGCATGTTCTTCAACTGTTGTCTACGGCCTATGGGAACACCTAAGAGGCAGTGCTTGGGGAATTCGTGAATAGTGTGCAGCTAGGAGGGATGACTAAGATGGTGGGCACAGAGAGCTGAATTTCGGAGACTGACTGGCTAGAAAGATGATTTGAAAGTGACAATCTTGAAACGTACAAATTTAAACGTCAAGTTTAATTTTCAGACGATTGACTGAACAGGAACGGAATTGGGGATCCCTGGGCTTCCAGCAGTGTTCAGGAAGACCTGAATGTCTGCACTCAATTTTGGTGGCATTTGGTTTCTTTATGGTTGTTAAATTTAAAAAAACAAAAGCCACCCCGCCTAAAAAAATAAAAACAAACAAAAGCATCCAGGAAACCCAAGTCACAGTTTCAAGGAACTGGCAAATGCCTGGCAGTGTGTGGCCCTTTTGCCAAGTGGCAGATGGTGACCTTTATTATCACTGTATAAGCTTTCACTTGTGTCTTAGGCGGCTGTAAGACACTGGCAGTCTTCCTCCTTTGACAATTGCCCCCCCCAACAATTTAGGTATGCTGCCACCAGGTGGCAGTGTATCTTAGTGTCGGCACCTTGGTTTCAGTTTTGATGAGATTGGAAGAGGCATGTCCTCCTTACTTTTTAAAATGGCGAAGAAATTTAAGGTGTTTTGGAGGCCCTTCGGGCTAGCAAAATCAGCTGAGAGACCTGGATTCGAATTCTGGTTCTCTTAGGGTCTGGGTAGACTCTAGGGAAGTGTTCATTAATTCAGACGCAGTTACAATGTACCACGCACGACTGTGTACTTTTCTGTGCTTTGTCATTCACCAAATGAGGGAACCAAGGCTCAGAAAGGTCCAATTACCCATAGCCGCACAGCAGATCTTAGTACAGATCTGTGGGGCTGCCCTGCCTCCTGCTTGATCCAGCTATGCCTGATTCTGAGCTTTGGATGCTTCAGCCCACTTAGGATGTGACCTTCTGCCTCTCCTGATGGAGCCTCTTTTTTCGCCATATTTATAACCAATCTTCTTGGCTTTTTCCTTTTCCTCTTCTCAGTATCTTTTTAGAAAATCAAAAATAAGGACTTTAGAAATCCTGCAACCTCAGCCTGATCAAAATTTTCTACGTGTTGTTTTGTCCTTTTCCTGTACATCAATGTGTGTGTGTGCATATCGTTGCTGCAGTGCGTGTGGAGAAACCATTCTTCTATTTGTAAGGAATGTTGCCTCTTAAATACTACACTCCCATTGGTTTAGTTTTTACTGAGTTCTACTGGTGTCTCTAGGGCTTTCTCAACAGAGAATTGCTCCCAAGGGGAGCCACATTGGTTCTTTGGGGCTTAAAAAACCTTAAGTTATTACAATAGTACGTGGCCCTGCGAAGTTCAACCCCATTCAACAAAATCTAATTTTTTAGTATTTAATTTCAAAGGGAGGAAGGGAAATAGGAGGAAAATGCCTAAAAAGGCTCCTGGGGTGGGGGTGGGGGGCAAGGATAATTAGAAAAAGGCTGAGAAATGCTCAGTCTGCCCCAGGTGGTGTTGTGGGACAAGACAGAGCGTAAATAGGATACCTGTGTGATCTTCTTACCTCCGTCCTGGTAATCCTGTTGTTCAGTGACCTCACCGCCGGGCTTCTGCCTTCTCGCACTGTCACAGTCTGCTTGGTGAGTTTTTTTGGCCCAGACCCTGTATTTTGAGCATCGTTTGGTCTCCCTGAATAGTCCGTCGTTACTGACGCTTGCATGTGAGGACATCTGAGTCACTGGCCCATGCTCCCAAGGCTACCCAGAAGGGTCCCAGGTCCCGGGTTCACCTTCCCTGCTCCCCCCGCCCCTCCGCCTCCTCTCCTCTTCCACTCGGCCTCCTGCCTTTGGCCAGCACTGCTCAGGGAGACGTTCTCACAGGAGGACAACCAGCTTCTCCAGGCCCAGGAAGGAGGGTGGACGGGGCTACTCTGGGTGGTAGGACAGTAGCAGTAGCCCTCCTAGGGTCCTCTGGAGCAGAGCATGCTGTCCTGAGGGCTCCCTGGAGAGGCCAGCCCTGTTTGGTTTGGGTGGTTTGGCCCCTGAGGCCAATTCCTAGGGGTGTGGAAACATAAACAGTTGTAGTGAGTTAATGAGGCCTCATTTCTGAGTCAGAGATGCACCTTGGAGGCCAGGTCCTGTGGAGACAGGCCTGTCTGTGTGTGTAAGACCGGGAAGGGACAGGCCTGCCGACGTGTGCAAGGCCATGAGGGGACAGCCCTGTCCCTGTGTGCAAGGCATGTGAGGGCGTCATGTGTGTTTACAAAGCTGCGAGAAGACCGGCCTGTTTCTGTGTCCCAAGTTTTGAGGCAAGAGGCCTGGGTGTGCACGACTGTGCGGGTCAGGCCTGTCAGGGTGGACAGCCCCTGGCTGGGAGGAAGCATGCACTAGGCCCATAAGGGAGCCCACAAGGATCGAGATACACGTATTTCACATAGCTGGCACTTCTGGAGTCTCCAGCTCTGGAAAACGGCCTTTTCACTTCCTGAGAGGGGTTCCATTGTGGGCCGTTGCACAGAAGTCTTGAAAACCAAGATGGTTTTATCCCCAGAGGAAGCTGGGTTATCCCAAGTGCTGGGGGCAGAGAAGCGGACTCCACATGAGACGAGAAGATGACCTGTTTTCCTGGCCCAAGGCTGCGGGGCAGAGGCATGTCCTGGGCTCTGGGAAAATCCCAGCTCAGGTTTGTATCCTGTCTGGCATTCCGCCCTGGCCATGCTGCCTCCTCTCCTTGAGCAGGTTTCCCCAAGCCCCTGGGGTGGCCACAGCCTCGTGGTCACCCCATCTCTGGCTCTGTCCCTCTTCTGTACAGAGCAGGAAGGTCGAAAGGAACGTGGGATGCACATGCCTGTGTGAGTGAATGAGTGTGTGAGAGAGAGAGAGAATGTTGCATGTGAGGGGTAACCATGTTAGGAGTGTATTGGGTGTGCAGTGGGTTTATTTGAGCCTCAGTTTTCTCCTCTGTTTATTGGGGATAATCCAGCACCTTGCTCACTGGGTCCGGGCGGGGTGGGATGCTCTGCTGTGCATGAGGCAGTTAGAAGGGGGCTGGCAGCCGCTGTGAGAGCCTCACAGGCACTCTGATCAGTGTGGCTCAGTGCGCACCACCCCCCCCAGCCCCTGCACTGGCCCTGCGAGGCATGTTTTAGAATCGGGGATGGGTGGGG